TCCACCTGTGTTCCCCGCCCCGCATTTACACCCGCGTCCACCCGCGCCCGCCCCGCCCCACTAAATTTTTCAGTACTTTTTTTCTTCAAATTGTCTTATTTTTAGAAACTTTCAATACACTAGTTGGAGCATCTTCATATTGTCTCAAGGCCCATTCTTGTGATATTTCCGATAATGTGATAATTAGAAAACTAGAAAAATAAATCGTGATATTCACACGGATATGTTATATGAGTATATCTAAGATAAGAACCAATTCATGCTCAAATAGTTAAATTAAAATTTACTTTACAGATAATGAAAATAATTAGTTGTACCACAAGATCAATATAGAACATTGATAAAGAAAAGAATCAAATGAAACTCCCGACAGAGTAAGAAAAAGGAATATAATGCCCATAACTAAAAAATGCAAAACAGATTAACATAACTGGGGTTTTCAACAACGGTAATTCTATATATGTAGACCTTCTCCATAACATGAAAAGCTTTAAAGATGCATTTTTATGGTTGACGAAGAGCACGCTCAAGTCTCACGGTATGGAGAATAGAGGAAAATATTCTTTTTTTTTTTTTGAGAGGGTCAAATATTCTAAAATAGTCAAAGTAGTTTATATATAGGAGTAGTGAAGTTCCCCTAATGTTTAATGTCATTTTCGAACATTTCGAGCTTCATACAATAATCAAAGGTATTTAGATTGAAGCATGAAAAATAAATAAAAATATTTGGAAATTAAAGACAACACAGTATAATGATCCACGTGAATATTTTTTAAAAATGGTATAAGCAACAGATTGATAAGCTTGAAGACGAGATTCATGCGAGTAACTAAATTTACAGTAGGAAAAAATTGACCCGCCCCGCAACCCGCAAAAATTTCTTTTAAGAAAAATCAACCCGCCCCGCCCCGCCCCGCACCGCACCCTCACATGCCCAAACCCGCCCCGCACATGCCCAAATCCACCCCGCCCGCATAGGCTCAAACCCGCACCACCCCACACTCGCACCGCCCCATTGCCATCCCTAGCTTCCCTGTTTCAATTTATGTAAACCACTTTGATTGTCTACGAAAGAAAAGAAAACTTTGAAGATTTTAGGCCTTAAAAAAATGCCACAAAATCTGTGTAGTAAAGTTCCAGGAAAACACTTCGAATTGGGAGGGTGACACTCTTGGTGAATTGATCATACCCCAAACGGACATAAGTGAACAAGTTGAGTATACTAGGACATTTGAGAGAACTATGTCGAAGGAATTCAGCAAAATAATTCTGTAACTTCAGGAGAAGGGGTGCTCTCTAGAGGGTAGCAATTGTTTATAAAAAACACAAGACTCAGCTAAGTGGGAACACAATGTATAAAGTTTGACACCTACCCGATACTGGAAGGCCGGAAGGGGAAGTGTTATGAGACTTTTGATTTTAACATTGTATAGTCATAAAAACTTGTCACTAAGGATAAAGTAAAAAATTTATTTGTTTTTAAATTTAATAAGGGTTTATTCTTTTTGAAAAAGAATTAAAAGAAAATAAGTCCATATAAACTAAACTGAGAGATTAGTATTTTTGGATGGACAAAAGTTAACGGAGTGCTAAAGAAATTGGAGACGGAGAGAGTATAATACTAGCCTCGTTAAAACCAGGAGGTTCAACCTTCATAAATTCACATAGTTACATAATAATATCAAACGTTCATAGTAAACTAACAGATGCAATTTGGTAGTTACAAATAATAGAATTCAAGGCCTCAACCTTGATACGGAAATCACATGGCGCATACGACATATCTATCACATGTTCATAGGGGTATATCAACAATAGACGAGGTTCAATAGCTCCAATCATCACATCTCCTCGTGATTTAATAAACCAACTACATGTTGCACGAAATAGAACTTGGAACCTGCTGTAAGAGCTGCATCAGTGGCCAGAAGATATCCAGTCTATGGCAGCTTCCTGAGGCCTGTAAGCACGTATAAAAAAATATTTCGGTACACGTATACTGCCATTTCCCTGATCTTGTTAATCAAGTTCGAAAATTAACTACAATGGAATAAATGAGTGTTGCTTATCCATTCCGAAAATGGAGTTAAGTTGTGAAAGGTAAAATCTATGAACAGACGGATTACCTCAACGATGAAGTGAGCCCAGGTGCTCTCTTGACGCTTTTCCATCACACCCTTCAAAATCCTCAGCTCCAAACGGTGAATAACATCAGCGATTTCTAAGAAGCGTCCATGGTCGTCACACATCATCTGTTTGAAACTTATGTCAAATTTCATAATATGGATGTCAAGAATACTGATCTCTCAGATTCGTGTTGTCCCAGATCAGGAGATTCTTTTAGAACCCGAAAAATAAAATGAAACTAGGACTAGTGAAGAAGCCATATGATATACCTCTATAAGCATGTGTCCAGGGTACTCCAAATCTTTGACAATTATAGGGCATATCTGATCCTCACTTCCCAATTCTAGAGCCCAACTTGTGCCTCGTTGATCACTAGTTTTTAATTCAGGTGATTGGAGGCTCTTGTCTGGGGCTACCTGCCGTGCATTTATGGATCAATGAAATTAAGACCTGACGAAATATTGGACCCGCGGGAAAAGAGAGTGTGGTATTGCATTCATGGCCTGTTTCTTTTTCTTATTGTTAATGGATATGAATTTATCTGAAGACAGACCGCATTGCATTCCTTCTTGTAGTTGCTTTAGTTGTTTACTCATAATAATAGCACCAGAAAGAGGGTGCGATTTTGCCATAATATTTTTAATAAAACTTCAAACAAGAAACAAGAAACAATTCCCAACAAAGTAAATAATAAATAGAAATATAAACCACGGAATGCTTACCTCTTTCTGAGCCTGGCACCTTAGTTTATCAGCCTGATCAGCAACACTTCGCAGAAACAGCATGTGCTTTATGGTTTTATGTAGTAAACCATCAATGCTACACTGCAGTGGGAAAACAAAAAGTTATTTTAAGCAAAGGTACAAGGAAAGTACTCTAATAGAACTAAGGTGAAATTAGCACTTACTTTGGCACCATTAGGGACAAGTTGTCGCAACTCCTTAAGCCGATCCTGAATTAACTGCCTATCTCGTGGTCTGGGTCTATGACTATCACCAGACCGTTCCCTTTTCTTGTTGGTATTAGATATTTTTGACTCCTTACGACAACTCAGAGAGCTAAAGGCTTTCGTCTGATGCTGCCCCTCATTAAATGCATTGACAACACAACCAAATGAAGAAGCAGAAGGCGAACAGTTAGTCAAAGCATATCTATCTGCCCCAGCAGAAGCCGATGTAAGAGTTCTCCATGTAACTGTGTTGTCTCCAACCAAAGCACTTTCTGTAGATTGATTTTTCCTTTTGCAGAAAGGAACAGGTTTTTCTAATGGCATGTTTAACGATTCCAGACTAGTCATTTTGTTGAGTGAACTGGCAACTACAGCTTCCAGAAGATTCTCTGCATTATCTTCTTTCAGAGGCCATCCATTAGATTCCCCAAAAGATAGCTCAATATTAAACATAGGATCAGCAGTATACATGGATTTGCTAGCAGTATTCTCGCTAAAGCCAGACAAGTTGTTGTGAATTGTACTTCCAAGGGCTTTGTATAGTTCACATTCTGTTGGGTTTCCGACAATAGTGTCACTGCAATCCATTCCAAGAGATTGTGTATCTAGCACGTCTCCGTCAAAGTAAAAATCTAGCTCATTGGAAGCATTAACTCCACCAACGACATTGCAGCTAGAGTAAGAAAAGGTATCTACATCTTTTGCATGGCAAGAAGATCTATCCAAGCTGTTTTCTGTTATCCCTGATTTATTATCATCAGAATATTCATGATTGAGTTGTTTCACTTGATTAATCATGTCTGCATGTTGCATTTCAATTTTGCTTTCATTTGCATTTTCTAGGACATTTGGCACGTTTTCATCGAACTTGCCAATTTTGCTTTCATTGGCATCCTCAAGGGTATTTCGCATGTTTTGTCCAGATAATTGAAAGGGATGTTGAACCTCAATTGATGAAGTCATCAGAAATGCAGTTGATAACTTGTGATCTTTCAGAATTGCTATATCAGCAGCTAAATCATCTTCATTAACCTTAATTGTGGTAGTTGCAGATAGTATATCCAAACTCTCTGAGAGAGTAGACTGTAGAAGAAATTCACAGTTTCCTCCACCAGGTAAAAAGTTCTCCACAAATTTGAAATGGGCATCAAGTTCTTCAGCTAGATTGGTAACCATCTCCACGTTTTCAGCTACCTGATTTTTTGAAAGAAATACAGTATCGTGTGAATGACCGTAAGAAGATACCACAACTTGTAAGCACATATACAATGCAAGGGAAAGAAAAAGTAAATGAGGCATCATGTAGCTCTATGGCCACCCCAAAGCTTAGAAATCACGATGAAATATTATGCTAAAGTTACAGGCCCAATGAAGTCCTGCAATATTGAAAATATTGTGATATCAAAAATGACATACCGTTTCCATTGATCCTAGTTGCAGAACACCGTGAGGAATACAAGGTACCAGCAATATAGTCTGAAAAAGAAAGATATGTTAATGACTAATTTAAGGAATACTGTAAACACAAAAGATGAATAAAACCACCTCAAATTTAAGCATGCTAAATAAATTCACCTTAATGCCAGCAGCAAACTGAAGCAGCCACTCATCTGGACACTGCAACAAATTTCAATCAATCAATTTATCAACTATGCTTCAATCCAAGAAGTAGAATTTGAGAAATTAGTTATCCATAAGTTCTAAAAATCACTTTGTTCTACATTGACAGGAGAGCTCCAAATTAGTTATCCACAACTACCATTAAAGAAGAAAGGTTATGCAAAGAGATCAAAAAAGGGTAGCCCGGTGCACAAAGCATCCTGTGTTCACGCAGGTTCCGGGGAAGGGCCGCACCCCAAGGTGGTGTGATGTAGGCAGCTGGCAGCCTACCCTACTGCAAGCATCAGTGGTTGATTCCATGGCTCGAACCCGTGACCTATAGGTCACACGGAAACTTTATCCAGTACTATAAAAAGAATGGAAAACTTTATCCCGCTAATTGTGGTTTGGGGGGAGGGGGGG